AAAAAAAAAAAAAAGAAAGAAAGAGATTTACTCACCAGATAGGACTCAATAGATTGGGCTAAGTTGCTTTAATACAAAAATCTAAAATAAATAAAGTAGAAGTTGACAGTGGTATTTTTGTCTATTTAACATTAAATTTGAATAAGATTTAGTAACTTTTTAGTTTGTAATTCTCAGCAACTACAGTTATGTTCATTGTTTTAGTCAGTGTGCAATACTTAATACAGTTTACAATAACTCTTCCAAGTATATTCTTTGACTAATGCAATTGGCGGGCATACACCAGATAGATCAGAGTACACAATGAGACTAAAATTAAATGATGAAAAGTTCAGAAGTAAATTTGTATTTGACCCTGATACAAATTTGTGTTGGTAGTAAGAACACTTGATGTTTTAGTAATTAACTTTTAGCAAAATAGTTTGACCACACTGGGAGCAGTGTTGATGCTTTCTCCACCATCTCCTGCCATTTATGTAGGCTATAGCCCTCCAAATTCTTTTCTGCTCCAGAGAATATGCTGAATAAGACACCCATCTTTCAATAACAATAGCTGGGTAAAGTGGGGAGTCTCCCTAGGGATAGATCAGATTCTAGGTGCCATATGGGGAAACACTTGGAACAAAACTAAAAAAATGATCTTGGGGTTAGGAGAGAGAGAGAGACTCCCCCCCTTTTTTTTTTCTTTTTACTATAAGTAAACTAAAAATTGAGGCCAGGCACTGAGGCTCAAAACATGTAGTCTCAGCACTTTAGGAGACTAAAGAGGAAGGGGATTGCTTGAGGCCAGTTCAAGACACCTGAGCAAGAACAAGACTCTGTCTCTCCAAAAAGAAATAGTAAAATTAGCCAGGCATGGTGGTGGGCACCTGTAGTTCCAGTTACTCAGGAGGCTGAAGTAGGAGGATTGCTGGAGGCCCAGAGTTTGAGGTTACAGTAAACTATGAGACCAAAGTTTTGTAGCCCAGACAACAAAGAGAGACTCTGTCTCAAAAAAAGTCAAAATTTACCATTCATGGTTTGGTGCTTGTAGCTCAGGGGCTAGGGTGCTAGTCACATACACTGGAGTTGGCGGGTTCACATCCAGCCCAAGGCTGCCAAACACCAGTGACAACTACAACCAAATAATAGCCAGGCATTGTGGCGGGCACCTGTAGTCCTAGCTACTTGGATGGCTGAGGCAAGAGAATCACTTAAGCCTAAGAGTTTAAGGTTGCTGTGAGCTGTGATGCTGGAGCATTCTACTGAGGGTGACAGAGTGAGACTGTGTCTCAAAAAAAAAAAAAAAAAAAAAAAATTTTACCAATATAGAGAAATGTAGAAATCTTAAATAGGAAGCTCCCTGAAGTTTCACAGAACGACCAGACCTGTGTAACTAGCACCCACATCAAGAGCCAGTGTAGCAGCATCTGGAAGCCACCCTTACACTCCCCCAGCCCCATAACTCCTTCCCATGTTAGGACTTCTTGTAATCAGATTTTATGTGGTCTTTTGTGTCTGTGACTTTTTTGAGAACATAAGTTTTTTAATTGTTTCAATGTCCTAGTCTATGTTAGATTGAGAGTAATAAAATAGACAGGGAGAGTCTGCTTATTTATTTCAGTCACATTCCAGATTGCAAATGGTCCTTGAGCCGGGACATTGGTTAAATGTTTGACTTTTAAAAAGCTTCCTAGTTACAAGCATGATTAGGGTGAGGTATGAAATGTCAACATAGCTAGTGATTAAAGAATATTGACTACAGTGTACCTTCAAAGCAAGGTAAGTCTTCTTGTAGTTAATTTGATAGAACATGCTAAATATTTATTTTTTGCAAACACTGAGCCTTGGCACTGCAGAAATTAGATAAGTAAAGCATACTTACCTGTCTAACTTGGGCAAACATCTTATCTCTTATATGAGTTATATCTACAGAATTATCGATGGCACAAATCTGACTCATTTTCATGATGAATTTCGGGTAATTTTATAGTCTGAAACACAGATCAGCCCAGAATAACAGTCCTGTATGGTCCAGGTGCTATACTTGATGGAACAGTTCTCTCTGAATGGAACTTGGTATTATGGTGGTTCTCCACTTGGAAGCCCAGTTTATAGTATGTTCTGTATTATACACTTTAAGTGGAAATGTTTGTATTTCCCTTGGCAAGCAAATTAGACTGTGTATATTCTTTGTTTGTGATCTAATCCAGCAAGGCCAATTACTGGAGCTTTAGGATGTAGCATGACTAATTGGCTTAATTAGGCCTGCTCTTTTAAATGCCAGGCTTCCAGAGGTGGCCACTGTGAGCTCCTAGAAAACAAGGTCTTTAATAGATTTTCAGAGTACCCAAGGATACATTCTACATTTTTTTAATGTGTATTTTAAAATAATAAATATAAAAACACTTCAGATAGCTTGATAAGATTCCCAAAATGGATCAGGTGCAATGGCTCACACCTATAATCCTAGCACTCTGGGAGGCCTAGGTGGGTGCATTGCTTGAGCTCAGGAGCTAGAGATTAGTCTGAGCAAGAGGGAGAGCCTATCTCTCCTAAAAACAGAAAAAAACTAGTCAGGCATAGTGACAGGTGCTTGTAGTCCCAGCTACTTGGGAGAGTGAGGCAAGAAGATTGCTCAACCCCAAGAAAAAAGAGATTCCCAAAATGTGGTAGTGGTATAGCTATTTCCTTATGATTCCCTCCTTAATTTATAACTTGGGAGGTTACATTTTTTTTTCCTTGCTTTTATCTATTTGAGTTGCAGTTACTGTCTTTGGTGTAATTATTGGTTATGTTTCTATAAATACTTATCTCAACCCAACCTAGGTGGGTAAAACTAATTCCAGTGCAGAACCCAGTATACTCAATTAAAGGAGCTGGTCAGGCATGTTCTCTGGCATCAGTGGTGTTTAAGTAATATTTAGTGTATTTAACCTTACCATAGAAGACAGTGAATATTGTATCGCTACTGTTATTCTGAATTATTTGTGGTAGTGATCCGTAACACTAAATAGATACAGATGAAATACTTTAAAGTCTATGATGATTTGCTTATTCTGTGGGCAAGGTCCTACTCCTCTCTAACTCTCAAAGTCTTTAGCTAGAAAAGGACAGCGAATAACAATGAGGCCTGCCTTATAGGATTGTTGTGAAACTAAATAAGATAATGTGTGTGAAACCATTTAGCACAATGCTTACAGCATAATAAGCACTCAACAAATGTTACCTGTTGTTAATATTTTTTATCACCTTTATTTTCTTTCTGCAGGATGAAATTGATTCTGCAGTGAAGATGTTGCTATCTTTAAAAATGAGCTACAAAGTTGCCACAGGGGAAGATTACAAAGCTGACTGCCCTCCAAAGAACACAACACCTGAGAATAATCAAGGATCAGATGCCACAGAAGTGGAAGAGGATTTTGTGGACCCATGGACAGTACAGACAAGCAGTGCAAAAGGCATTGACTATGATAAGCTCATTGGTATGTCCTCTGCTTTCTTCCCCAGAAAAAGCCTCAACTGATTCTATTTTATATTTGTTTGTTTGTTTGTTTTGTTTTGTTTGTAGAGACAGAGTCTCACTTTATCACCCTCAGTAGAGTGCCATGGCATCACACAGCTCATAGCAACCTCCAACTCCTGAGCTCAGTCAACAATCTTGCCTCAGCCTCCCAAGTAGCTGGGACCACAGGCGCCCACCACAACACCCATCTATTTTTTTGTTGCAATTTGGCTAGGGCCGGGTTTGAACCCACCACCCTCGGTATATGGGGCCAGTGCCCTACCCACTGAGCCACAGGCATCACCCTCTATTTTATGTTTTTAAATTTTGAATTAATCATAAACAGAGTTGGCTCGGCGCCTGTGGCTCAAGTGACTAAGGCACCAGCCACATACACCTAAGGTGGTGGGTTCGAATCCAGCCTGGACCCGCCAAACAATGACAGCTGCAACCAAAAAAAAAAAAAAAAA